CATGCATCTGCAGTTGCCGTTGTCCGGGGGTCTTCTTTTTTTCATGTCAAAAAGACATGAAGCAAATGTGGCAACATGCTGAAAACTGTCATTTTGGAGTGGTGAGTATACAAGTGTGTCCTGTTGTTCTTGGCACTTTGCTGCTTTTGAAACTTGCCCCCCGCTACCGAATATGAGAACGACAGGCCATTGAGGCGTCATCACGTGAACCTAGTGAAGCTCTCTGGGCCTTTCTTTTATGGTTATTGTGGCTCTGTAGGTTTTCTACCTCGTGGTTAGGTTTTATATTTTTCTTGAAATGCTAGACAAAGTGAAAGATTTTCTAATTTATTGGTATAGCCTTGATTGAAAAAACCAAAAACTCCTAGAAAGATCAAATTACTGGTCAGTGGCGTGCAGTGCCGTGTTGGACGTGAAGGCGGACCCTCTCTGCGGGCCCCTGCCTTCAAGGGTTGTCCCGGGTGGAATCCTGGAAAGTAAGCAGCCCACGATCAGATTAGGAAGGGAAAAAAGACCAAACGCCCGAAGAAACAGGTACCGTGAATGAAAATAAAAGCAACAACAGGAGACACAGGCCTGCAAAGACCAGATATTTAAAACAGTTATGTTTAATATATTCAAAGATGTAAAAGAAACCTGAAAATTCCAACAGGAACAAGCAATCTTGAAAATGTGGTTCACATACACGTCATGATTACCAGGGACCTAGGCCTGGAGTTAGATCCGAACCCCATGACCCTGGGTATGTTTTAAGAGAAGCCAGAAATCTGAATTTTTGTGTAAAATGTCCCAAACTTTAATTGTTGGCAACTAAAGCGTCTTGTTTATCTGTCTACTGGCTCTACTTCTTAATATTATTTTCTTAGCTGTTGCTCTAACTAGGGCTGCGGTTTGCATCCTTAACTCATCACAGGCTACTTAGAGTTAATATACCACTGGGTATAAAATACAAGAATCTTGCAACTGTGTAGATTGATTTACTCCCTTCCCCATGCTACAGTTGTCATATGTATTACATCTATTAAGTTATAACTCCAGTGTTACATATTTTGCTTTAATTATTTGAATTTTAAAGAAACTAAGAGGAACAAATAGTCTTTTATATTTGCTCATACATTCACCATTTCTGGTGCCCTTGATTTCTTCCTAAAGATCCCAGTTTCAGTCTGGTGTCATTTCTCTTCAACCTGAAGAACTTCCTTTAGCATTTCTCCTAGTGAAGATCTGATGGCAACAATTTCTTAGTTTGTATTTCTCTTAAAATGTATTTTGTCATCACTTCTGAAGGATATTTTTTCTGGATATCAAATTCCGGTTGGACAGTTGTTTTTTCCCCATTACTCAGATCGTATCTGGCTTCTGTTTCTCCTGAGAAGTAAATAATCACCCACACCACTGTTCTGTAGGTACCGGGTCTTTTTCCCTCTGACTGCTTTCCAGGGTTTCTCTTCATCTCGGTTTCTAGGCATTTCAGCTGATGTGCACCTGGTGTAGCTTCTTTTATATACATCCTGCTTGAATTTTGCTGAGCTTCTTGAACCTGTAAATTGATGTCTCACTGAATTTGGGAAGTTTTTCTGGTTATTTTTGCCCAAATATTTTTTCTTTTTTTCTTTTAAATGACTGACTTTAAAAAGAATATTTATTTGGGGCTGCTCTTGTGGCGCAGTGGTTGAGAGTCCGCCTGCTGATGCAGGGGACACGGGTTCGTGCCCCGGTCTGGGAAGATCCCACATGCCGCGGAGCGGCTGGGCCCGTGAGCCATGGCCGCTGAGCCTGCACGTCCAGAGCCTGTGCTCCGCAATGGGAGAGGCCACAGCAGTGAGAGGCCTGCGTACCGCAAAAAAAAAAAAAAAAAAGGAATATTTATTTTATTTATTTTCTATATTATTTTTGGCTGCATTGGGTCTTAGTTGTGGCGTGCGGGATCTTTTGTTGCAGCATGCAGGCTTCTCTCAGGTTGCGGCGTGTGGGCTCCAGAGTGCGTGGGCTCTGTAGTTGCGGCGGGCAGACTTAGTTACTCCGTGGCATGTGGGATCTTAGTTCCCTGACCAGGGCTTGAACCTGCACCCACTGCGTTGGCAGGCGGATTCTTAAGCACTGCACCACCTGGGAAGCGCCCCAGATATTTTTTCTGTGTCATTGTTTCTCTCCTTTCCTTCTGGGTGGGAGTGGGAACCCAGACCTTTTGATGCTGGTCTATAGATCATTGAGGCTCAGTTTCTTTTCTTTCTTTTTATTTTTAATAATTTTTACTCTGTTTTTTAGATAATTTTTACTGATCTATTTTCAAGTTTCCTGACTCATATCTAATACGCTTTTAAGGCCATGCAATGATTTATTTTTTTTAATTTCAGATACAGAATTTCCATTTGACTCTTTTTCATAGTTTTTGTTTCTCTGTTGCTATTTCCAGTTTATTATTTTATGAGTACACTTTCCTTCATGTCCTTGAGCATGGTTATAATAGACGCTTTGAAATCCTGCTGAACTTCAGTATTTGGGCCGTCTCGGGGCTGGTTTCTGCTGCTTCTCTGTTTCATCATATATTTAGTAATTCCTGGATAATGTGAAAGATGTGCTGTAGACACTCTTTATTCCGTTATGTTCTTAAGAGTGGTCTTTTATTTTCAGTTGTGTTAAAATACACGTAACATTTACCATCTTAACCGTTTTTAAGTGTGAAGTTCAGTGGTATTAAGTACATGCACGCTGTTGCAGCCATCACCAGAACTCTTTTCGTCTTGCGAATCTGGAACGTTGCCCCCATTAAAACAACACCTCCCTGTTCTCCCCTCCCCCAGATCCTGGTGCCCCCCATCCTACTTTCTGTCTTTATGGATTTGACTGCTCATAACAGTGCAGGCTTACAGTATTTTGTGAGTGGCTTATTGCACTCGCTGTAACGTCCTCAGGGTTCATCCATGTCATAGCAGGTGTCAGAATCTCCTTCGTTTTTAAGGCTGAATCGTATTCCACTGTGTGGATTCCACCTTTTGCCTGTTGTGAACATGCTGCTGTGAACATTGGGTACAGATACCTCTGTGAGTCCCTGCTTTCAGTTCTTTGGGGTGTGTATCCAGAATGGAACTGCTGGGTCCTTTTGATTCTTTGGGGACCCCCCCCCCCCGCTGTTTTCCAGCAGCCACACCATTTTACATTCTCACCCACGTGCACGAAGTTTCCAATTCCTCCACATCCTCGCCAACCCGTTTTCTGTTTTTTTTGTGTGTGTGTGGTACGCGGGCCTCTCACCGCTGTGGCCTCTCGCGTTGCGGAGCACAGGCTCTGGACGTGCGGGCTCAGCGGCCATGGCTCATGGGTCTAGCTGCTCCACGGCATGTGGGATCTTCCCGGACCGGGGCACGGACCCGTGTCCCCTGCATCGGCAGGCGGACCCTCAGCCACTGCGCCACCAGGGCAGCCCTGTTTTCTGTTTTTGTAGTAGGTAGTCATCCTCAGGGGTGTGTGTGAGGTGGCATTTCGTTGTGGTTTTGATACTTTTTTTTTTTTTTTTTGGCCTTGCTGTGGGGCTTGCGGGAGCTTAGTTCCTGGGCCGGGGGTTGAACCCAGGCCCGGCAGTGAGAGCGCGGAGTCCTAACCACTGGCCAGCCCTGGAAGTCTGCTTCTTATCCTCAGAGTGGTGTTGCGGTTTGTTTCTGTCTCGCTTCAGCTGTCTTGTAAGCTGGGCTGCGTGGACTCCGGGGTTCGGTGGGGAGTCTGCGGTGCGCGGGGGTCCCCCTCGAAGGCTCTCCTTTCCCTGTTCACCCGGTGCCGGGCCTGCTGGGTGCGTTCCCGAGCCGCCCCCACGCCCCCTGCTCTGGGCTCTCTCCAGTGCCTTTAGGTCATTGTCTTCTCTTTTTGTCCCGTTGGTCTGATGCAAGCGGGACTGGGAACCCACTCGGATTTACCTGAAAAAAACACCGCGTGGGGCACACTGAATGCTCTGGTGTGTGCCCGGTGCTCCAGGTGTCCGGGGCCAACCCTCCACCACTGCCTGGCTCCTGCCCCGGCCTGGCGTCCTCGGAGACTGGGCCCTTTCCACCGAGGCTCTCTTGGGAGGGTTGTCCCGGGCTGCATCCTTGGCCCCTCCCCAGGGGGTGTAGCCAGCGGCCCCCAGGCGGTGACAGTGGCTGAGCACCTACGTCCTTGGGCTCCCGGTCCAGGCGCCCCACTTCTCCCTGCTCTCTCACCGTTGGCCCCCTTGGGGCCGTGGTGTACTCTTGGGACGTCTTCCCAGCGGAGTGGGCGCCTGCCAGTACCCTGTTCCAAGCCGCCTTCGTGGGGCGTCCCCAACGAGGGACTGCGGCTGTGTGGGGAGGAGACCCCTCTGCATGTGGACCTCGGGCGGCCATCCCGTGGAGGGCGCTGTGGGTGGTGCGCTATGGCCTGGCCCTGCTGCCCGACTAGCGCAGTCCCGGAGAGCTGACTCCACTTGATGTTGCTGCCCTGCTGCTTGTCACCGGCAGTTAACTTGGGCCTGGGTGGGGAGGGGCGGGGGGGCGGTAGAGGTCCAGCTCTCACCTTCCCCGGCTGTCTGGGCTGAAGCTTTGCCTACCGGTAATCGCGGGTGTGTCCCGAGCCCCTGCCTGGAGTCCTCTTCAGCTGTGTCTCAGGTGCTTCCCTTTTGTCCTTTGCCCGGGCCTGGCTTTGTGCTGGCCACCTCGGGCGCTGCCCTCGCGACAGGGGGCAGGGGGCGACCTCTGCTTCCGAGGGCTGAGGTCAAGGGGGGCACGGCCACACAGCTCATTAGTGGCGGTCCCTGCTTGACTCTCGTTAGAAACTAGTCCTGTTCCTTTCGCTTTGTCACTGTGATTCCTGTCATTTTGGGGATATTAGAACTGTCTCCTGTGACCTAAGTCATTATAGGAACCATCATAAATTGCCTCAGCGCCCCCCCCCCCCCAACTCTACAGACTGGTAGAGAGCTTCACTGGCGTACTCATCTTAGGTTTGAAATGTAATAGCTTGCTTTTCTTTCTCTTTTTCTAATGCTGCAGTGTTCTAAGAACGGAGGCATCTAGGCTGAATGGAATTCAGCATCAAAAAAAGTCCTCTTTCTGTTCCGAAGGTTGTAAAGTACGTGAAGATGAAGCAGGCACCGGAGATCCTTGGCAACACGAACGGAAAGACTCCGAGCTGTGAAGTGAGTCGTGAGTGCTCCGTGTTTCTGAGCAAAGCCCAGCTCTCCGCCGGTCTGCAGGAGGGAGTTGTGCAGAAGTTCAACGGCCACGACGCTCTTCCTTTTATCCCAGCCGAGAGGCTGAAAGACCTCACCTCCCGCGTCTTTAATGGAGACCCCGGTGCTCATGATGCCACATTGCGTTTGGAGTCCCAGGAAATGAAGGGACTTGGGACACCACCTGACACTACCCCTGTCAAAAATGGCTCTCCAGAGATCAAGCTGAAAATCACCAAAACATACATGAACGGGAAACCTCTCTTTGAGTCCTCCATATGTGGCGATGGTGCTGCCACCGTGTCCCAGTCGGAAGACGGTGGACAGAGACCAGCGAGCAAAGCGCGGCGGACCAGGAAGAGGAGCGCGAAGCTGCTGCTGGGGCGGGGCCTCGCCGAGGCGGCCCTGGCGTCCCGGGCCTCGAGCCCCTCGGCCGAAAAGGTATCTGCGAGTGAGGAGTTCTGCTGACCGGGGTAGAGGGCGGCCCCAGCTCCCGGCACAGGGGGGCCCCGAAGGATGCGTGGTGCACGGGGGGCGGGAGGAGGTGGGCTCAGCCCCCCGAGGCCTGCTCTGCAGCTCGGGCCCCTGGCTGTGGCAACGGCAGACACTCACAGCAGCCTGCCGAGCAGTGCTGAGGCCTAGAGATTAAGCATAAAGAGTAAACAAGGGGACTTCCCTGGTGGTCCAGTGGTCAAGACTTTGCCTTCCAATGCTGGGGGTTCGGGGTCGATCCCTGGTTGGGGAGCTAAGATCCCACATGCCTCAGGGCTGAAAAACCAAACCATAAAAAGAAGTCAGAAGCAATAGTGTAACAAATTCAATAAAGACTTCAGAAAATGGTCCACATCCAAAAACAAAAACTTTAATTAAAAAAAAAAAAAAAAAGATGAAATGAGTGTCTGACCCCAGGCCTGGCCCGTTCCCAAGCCCTTGACCTTCAGGCTGTCCTGTCTTCATGGATCTCCTCTCCAGCGATGCCCTTTAGCCTGAATCTGGTTGGCAGAGGAGCATGGGGATCGAGTGGGGGCCTCCTCAGTCTGTGCTGTCCGAGGAGGGGAGCGGGCTGCGCTGTGCAGGTGTGCTCCTACCTTCCCGCCCGCGGTTCACCGTCACTCCCAGGTCTCCTCCCCCGGTGGCCCTGCAGATGGGCCGCTGCCTTGAGGGCTGGGGCTGCGCCTCAGGCCTTCACGTTCTTGGTTCCAGGACAGGGTGCATCTCTTGAGTGCGCGTGAATGAGTGTTCACTCATCAAAGGCCGGGGTGGAGACCCCCTAACGTGGGATGACAAGCGTGGTGGTTTATGCCGCCAAGTCTTAAATGACACTCGGGAACCTTGACCTTGGCAGAAGGAACTGGGGAGGGCTCTGTAGCCGCCCTTGTTCACCGAGGGGCTGATGGTCTAGATTAACAGGGTCTGGAACACGTCCTGTGCTCACTGGTCAGCCAAAGCTCCTGGCCCACTTGCAGGAGTGGGGAGAGGGGACTCGAGACCAGTTTGGGTTGTATCATCACTAAGGTTGGAATAATTAGTGTAACAATATAGTTGAGGAATCTTGGTTACAATCCCACAGGTGGGAAGGGAAAGGACCAAAATTTCCCTGAAAAGTTAAAATAACGAAGAACTTTGAGGGTTTAAAAAAATGTCTTTTGACTGCTCAAGGGCTCTAATGTAAGCATAACGGTGAATTATTTAAAAGCCTAGTTGAGTGACCTGGGCTGATACAATGGTTTTTCTGAAGCACCCACGGTGTAGGGAACCTCACTCTTTTATGGGGGAAGAGGCCGGTGCAAGTTATCCCTAGCTCTCTGCCACTTGCTTTTGGTAAAACCTGGGTAAATCACCTGATTTTGACTCTGAGAGTCTCATTTGACTCTTCAGGGTGGGGACGATAATATTATACTTGTCCTGATAGGGTTGTCACGTGGCTTTGATGACACCGTCAGTGTAAAACTGGGAGGTTGTGGAATAACGTGAGAGCCAGCATTTTCTCAGAAGCGTGTAAGGAGTGCTCGCTCTGGCAGCACGTATACGAAAGCGTGTAACGTGACAGCTCTGTGTCAGCCCTCACCACCTGATGTGTGTAACAGCCGGGGTTCTCCTCGGTTTACAAATGTGGAAACTGAGGCCCAAAGAAGTTCAGCGATTTGCTCAAGTAGGTGGCGGTCTTAGAGGGAGGCCTGGGGCCGTGCTGACTGGGCTCGTCCTCCTGGAGAGAAGGTTGTTCTTGCCAGCCTTCAGCCTCCTAATTGGCCTGGGCTCTAAGACGGAGAGACCGAGACTCCAAGAGCCCCAGGCCTTGGATGGTGGGTGGTGGGGCTGAGACTTGCTGCCAGGCCCCCGTGTCCTCGCCACCCTGGGTCCTCTCTCCAGCAGGTTAACTGTCAGCCGAGGGCTCAGAAGGGGCGGGAGGGTCAGGGTATGAATTCCATGACGGTTCTTCTCCAACCTGCGAATAAGCTCCATTAACGATCACCCACCAGGCCAAGGAAATAGATTTACGTGGAGATGCTCGTAATGTTGTGCACCTGCAGTCCTTTAGCTGCGGGCATGCTGTGCACCTGCAGTGTGCTAGGCACTTGCTGACCTCTAGCTGAGGGCAAGAGACGAACGATTTTGATGAAGTGATATCAGGGCTGTTACCTGAAAAACAGTGAGGGAAAGCATGCTTCTTTTTAGGGGTGTGTGTGTGTGTGTGTGTGTGTGTGTGTGTGTGTGTGTGTGTGTGTTGAATCTCTTGTCTGACTAATCCTTGGTCTTCTATGGATAGGAGGCTGGATTTAGGGGTAGGTACTAGATGTATCTTTTGTTGTTATTCATTTTCAGATTCCAGCTAAGAAAGAATCCTGTCCAAATAGCAGCAGAGACAAAGACCAGCTGTTGAAGTACAACGTCGGGGATTTGGTGTGGTCCAAGGTGTCCGGTTACCCCTGGTGGCCATGCATGGTCTCCGACGATCCGCTCCTGCACAGCTACACCAAACTGAAAGGTATTGCGTTTGGGGGGCTGTTTTTCCATCTTTATCTTCTGCACTTAATTGTTTTCATCTCCAAACTTCTTTATTACTCTTCCTTAAACAGCCCTACTGTGGTTCTTTTTTTCTCTTTCTTATTGTGTTAAAATACACAAACATAAAACGTACCATCTTAACCATTTTTAAGTGCACAGTTGAGTGGGATGAAATACATTCACATTGTTGTGCAGCCGTCACCACCATACATCCCCAAAGTTCTTTTCATCCTGTAAATCTGAAACTCTGTCCCTGTTAAGTAGCAGGTCCTCAGTGCCCCCTCCCCAGCCCCTGGCAGCCACTGCTCTACTTTCTATCTGCTGCTGCCTGTGGTTTCGACTTGCATTTCCCTAGTGATCAGTGATGTTGAGCATCTTTTCGTGTGCTTAGTGGCCATTCATACAACAAGGTTTGAATCGGCTTGGAGGTGGGGGTGGGGTGGGTTGTTGTTAAGTTTTTTGTGGTTCATTTTGCAACTTTGCCTAAAGTTAGTGATTCACACGTGACACATTGCCTTTTCTTTTTATATCCAAATTAGATACCTACTTTATCTGATTGAATTAGTATTAAAAGAGAAAGCAGTCTTTGCCTTTTATTGCTTTTCAGGTTTTATGATAAGTAATTTATTATTACTTAGATATACAGCCACTGCTTCAGCATGATTTTCAGAATTAGTATTTTATACTAAGTTTTAGTTTAAAAAAAAGTCCCAGTTTATTTTATTAGGCCTGTGGGAAGAAGGAAAAAAACTAGAAATGACCATCTTTTTGGTGTCATGAAACTTGGGGACGTAAATCAGTACACAGAACAGTTAAGAACATATTAAGAATGTATGTTATTGATTAGAGCAGATGCTAATTTAAATAATAATTGGACAGTTCATGAAGCACATAAAAACTCATGTGTTTTTGGAGGGAAAAAAACCCTCAAATGAGGTGGTTTTGAGATTCTCCTGAAGAGTTGCTCTACAGTTTGAATTTGGTCTGAGGGAGGTGAGAGGTGGTGACACAGAGCTGGAGGTGACCAAGTTGGTGCCCAAGTGACCTGTGCCCCCCAGAAGCGCGGGTGGCTGGAGCTGTGGGCTGGCCTTGTATGGCCTCAGCGTGAGTGCGTGGCCTCTCTTGGCCTCTGGATGGAGGCCTGAGCTCTCGCCGGGGCAGCGCTGCTGGGAGTGGGGTACACTGGTGGCTCCCTGGCAAACAGGCTTGAGGGGGTGCAGGTTCGGGATGAAGAGGACCTGTCCTCAGCCCCAGGCGCCAGGCCTCCCGCCCCCTGGGTGGTTGGACCCTGCCCCGAGGCCCAGGCGTGCGCATGCACTCTGCAGGAAGGCGGTGGCTGGAGAGGAGCCTGTGGGCTGGCTTTGGCTCTGACTCGGTGGAGGGCATTTAGCATCCTCAGCTTGCCAGCATCAGGGAGTCCCTGCCACAGGGCTGCAGGGGTCCCAGGGTGCACCCCTGCTCTTGTGTTCACCCTGAGGCTGAATCAGGGTGCCTTCCCAGCCTCTGCGGTCTCGAGCAGCCCCACTCTCTCAGGCTGCTCTGGTCTCGTGATCAGACTCAGGGCGCACGGCCAGGCAGGAGTTGTTGTGGGAAGGTGCCCAAACTTGGAAGGAGGGGTGCAGCCCAGCAGTGCGCTTCTCTAGGCATGGTTTTGGGTTGCCGGGAGGCACAGCCTCCGTAATCGCAGATCAACCTCTGAAGACTGACGATGTGCATTTGCAAAGCAGCTCAGTAGGGAGAGAGCCAGGATGCAGGCCTTGCAGCTGGAGGGGATTCAGATGACCTTTGAAAAACAAAGGGTCAGAGGAACCCGTGAGAACCTGGCGGTGGCGGAAGGACACGTGCAGCCGGCGCCTGCCCAGGAGGTGGTGGCCAAGAGCTCTCCAGTGGGAAGGCACGGCCCCGCTTGTCATTGGTGAATCATCAGTGGCCGTGCTTGGGACCGGGCTCCCTGATAGCCTTACTTGCTCTGTGGTTTTAATCCTCCCTGAGGATCCATCGCCTTATTGAATGCTAGCTCTTCATTTTTACCATGCGTTTCATGGTTAAGGGGCTGGCGTTTTTCTGTGAAGGTGAACTCCCTCCTAAAAAATTACTTATGTATTACAGTCTTCACTCTTTTTAATGCGCAAATCGTCCCAGATTTGGCCGGTGGGAGCCCATGAAGTCCCTTTCAGCCGTGTCCTTCTGACACGTCTCCATCCGTCTTGGAGCACTTCCTTACGTGTCGCCCAACTAAATACACTCCGGGCTCATTTTGAACTTTCTTTGCCCCAGTCCTGGAACCAGCTGTTTCTGAGAAGAAACCTGGGTCCTTTTTTTTTTTTTTTTTTTTTGCAGTACGTGGGCCTCTCACTGTTGTGGCCTCTCCCCCGTTGAGGAGCACAGGCTCTGGACGCGCAGGCTCAGCGCCCATGGCTCACGGGCCCAGCCGCTCAACGGCATGTGGGACCTTCCTGGACCGGGGCATGAACCTGTGTCCCCTGCATCGGCAGGCGGACTCTCAACCACTGTGCCACCAGGGAAGCCCCCTGGGTCCTTTTAGTAGAGAGTGGTGTATGGAAGCTCGGGTCTGGGCTCTGGTTGTGTCCAAGGCCATGGGAGACAGGGGCACTGGGGTGTGAGGCAGGTCTCCTGGCAGTGCTGAGCCCAGCTCCCTGTGCAGCACCCCGTGCTGGGCGTGCCTGAGGGGCTAGGCGTCCTTGCAGGGGAAGGGCGGGGCTATGGCGGAGGGTCGGCTTTTGGCATGGGGCTGGCTGAGCAGGGGGTCTTGGGAAGCAGGAACTTTTTTTTCCCTGTAAGATGGAACTCCCTCACCCTACCCCTGATTCCCACCCCCGATTTTCTTTTTTTTCTTTTTGTGTGTGTGTACTTCTTTTTATTTATCATACTTGGGATTACTTGAATCTGGATCAGTAGTAATGCACTTAAGCTTTAAAAATTGAAGTATAATCTACATGCAGAAGAGAGCACAGCTCTTTGGAGAGTTCAGGTTTCCTTTGAAAATCTGATAGCATTTTCGTGATTTGTAGCAGCAGAACTTGTCTTGGTGACCGTCTCCCAGGGCATCTAGATGGATTAACCAGCAGCTTTGAGGCCTAACCCCTTAAGCTGGAAACAAGATAAATGTGTGTTTTGGGTATTATACTGTGAAGAAGACTGGATTCTTTTGCAGCTGGGAACGCCACCATCTCCCTGGTGCACCTGGGTCCTACTAGTCTTCTCTTACCAGGGTATCGAGTCAAATTATCTTCTGTTGTGGAGATTTTTGTTTTCACCTTTTCTGTGTTATGGAAAGGAACCCTCATTGCTTTTTTTCTAAATCCCAGCATTTTCTAAAAATATTGTAGGTGCCCTGACTTTCTCATGTTCTGGGTTATTAGACACTGTAATAGGACTTTTTCCTCCTTGCTTGTTCTGTGGCTACGAAGAGAGGTGTGTTAAGATTTCCCACTGTGATAATGGATGTGCCTTTTTCTACTTGAAATTTTGTCAGTTTCTGCTTTACCTACTTTGGGGGCTCTGGACCCCCAGGGACTGAACCAGGAAACTCAGGCGGTGATCCTTGTTCTTTGTTTCCTGTGGAATTCTGTGGCCTTTTGTCCTTGTGATTTTGTCCCTTGCTTCTGTAGACACCTGGCCTCGTCTGCATTGTTGTGGCTTCTCTTCCTCTCTGTATCTGCAGCGCTGAGGCAGCCTTATCTCTTTGTGGGGTCCATTCTGCATGCATGAATGGCTGTTGTCAACTCAAAGGCCCCACAGAATCTGGACAGAGACTCTGGCTCAGTCTAGCCCAGGGGGTCAGGGGCCACCTTGCGTCTAATGTGCCGTGATGGGGAGGAAACGAACATAGTACAAAATTAGGTTCCTGGGCTATTGGTGGAGGCCACGTTCTCTTAGAAGGGAGAGTGGGTGGGGCATCAGTGATAAATGTTTTCATACCAACAGTGATTGATGAACATCAGAAGTCACAGGAAGGAAGGGTTACTAACAAATGGTGCTGGGACAGTTGGTTAATTATGGTGGTAAAAATGAGTGATTCACTTGTCAATTTTGGACCAAAAGAAAATTCATATGAATTAGAAAAAAAACCTTAAAAATACAAGAAAGTTGGGTTACATTTGTTACCAAATTTCCAGGCAGGAAAGAACTTCAGAAATGTTTAATTAATTTTATAAACTTAGGATCAGCCTATCATGTTCTCCTCTGCTTTTTTTTCCAGCTGACATGTAAAGAGCATTTTTTCTGTCATTAACTATTTATTTTAAAAAATGATGTGCGTTCATATTATTTCATCATATGTACTGTAATAGATTTTCTTCATTAAGCAAATGCTATGACATATATTTATATTCATTTTTATGACCAAAGGAAGTTCTTTCGAAGTATTAAAATAATTGAAGCAGACACAAATCTCTCGACATATTTTTGAACCTTAGCTGTTTTAAAATCCAATAAGTGTACACACTTATAAACAAGTCAGATTGTACTGAGAGGTTAATAGTGAAAAATAGTCCCCTTCCCTCCCCAGAAGGAATTACTTTTAACTGTAAACATTTTCTTCCAGTTTGAACTATTTTTTGATTTATCATTTAGGTGTTTTCTTTTGACTTTCTGTTATGGAAGATGAAGATTAATCTCTTCAATCATTTCCTGTTTCTTTCCCTTTCATCCTCCCCATATAATTAACTCACTGTTTTTATTACATCAAACTTAGTTGTTCACATAATTTTGACTATGTAAGTATCATTCAGTGAAAAACTGAGCTGTGTTCTTTAACTGCATTTTCTTTCTTGTACAACCTTTTGTTTTTCCTGGAGTTAATTATTGCCTTTCTTTTGAAATTGTATACTTTGCTGTCCATGCAGCTTTAATTTTTTTCAAGTATTTATTTCTCTGTCCTTAAAACTCATCCTATTATGTAGTTAGTTTTTCCGATTGGGGGAGAAAATGAAAACCTTGTTTGATTCCCATTTTCCTTTTCTGCTTCTTGGATCTCTTTTTTTTTTTTTTTTGCGGTACGCGGGCCTCTCACTGTTGTAGCCTCTCCCGTTGCGGAGCACAGGCTGCGGACGCGCAGGCTCAGCTGCCATGGCTCATGGGCCCAGCCGCTCCGCGGCATGTGGGATCTTCCCGGACCGGGGCACGAACCCGCGTCCCCTGCATCAGCAGGCAGACTTTCAACCACTGCGCCACCAGGGAAGCCCAGATCTCATTTTTTAACCTTTTTCCTTGCTGCCAAGATTTTCTTTCAGTGTGGAAGAATTCTTTCCTCTCCTCTTTTCTTCCCTTGGAGCTCTCTCCTAGAATCTCCCTTTCTCCTACCTAACTCTATTACTGGCACTCTGTCTTTTGCATAGTAGTAATCTTAGACTTTCTTTAAGATGCTTTACTGAGTTACATGCACTGTTTTCCATGGTGCCACATTGTGCTCTTCCGTGGTCAGTTTTCCTTTTTTGTTGGAGTACATTTTTGGCATCCTAAGGAAGTGTAAATGGTGGGTATTGATACATTTGAGTTCCTGTGGTTCGGAGGGTGCTGCTTCGCTCTCCTCACACTCAGTTAATGATCTGGCTAGGTGTAGAATTTTATGTTGAAAATAATTCTTCTCGGAATTTTGAAGGTATTACTCCATTTCCTTCTAGCATCCAGAGTTGCTCTTGAAGTACCTTGCCATTCTGTTTCTCATTTCATGAACATGGAAGCTGTTCTCTTCCCCTCCCCCAATAGCTTGAATGTCACAAGGATGTGCCCTGATGTGGGTCACCCATTGGATGAGGCACTTAGGGGGGGTTTTAGTTCTGAGACGTGCTCTTGTGTTGTTAATTCTCTGATGAGTTTCTCTGTTTCTCTCTCTAGAAGGCCAGTTATTTGGGTATCATACCTCCTGGATTGATCCTGTGGGTTTCTTATGAGAGTAGATTTTTTCATTTTAATCTTTTTCTTCTTTCTGGGAGATTTCTTAACTTTTTAAATTTTTTTGGATTTTATTTTATTCTTAACTTTCCATCCAAGCTTTCTTCTTTTTTCCAATTAATTAATTAATTAATTTTTGGCTACGCTGGGTCTTTGTTGCTGTGCGAGGGCTTTCTCTAGTTGGGGCAAGCGGGGGCTACTCTTCATTGCAGTGCACGGGCTCTAGGCACGCGGGCTTCAGTAGTTGTGGCACACGGGCTCTAGAGTGCAGGCTCAGTAGTTGTGGCACACGGCCTCAGTAGTTGTGGCTTGTGGGCTCTAGAGTGCAGGCTCAGTAGCTGTGGCACATGGGCTTAGTTGCTCTGTGGCATGTGGGATCTTCCCGGACCAGGGCTTGAACCCGTGTCCCCTGCATTGGCAGGCGGATTCTTAACCACTTTGCCACCAGGGAAGCCCCAAGCTTTCTTCTTGAGTTTTATTTTCATGACTGTATTTTAAAATTTCTCGTAGCTCTTTCTTTGTCTTTGTTCTCTTCTCATAGCAAACTAGAGTCCCCCTCTGTCAGGTGTCATCTCTTCCTGGCATAGTGTCTGTGGTCCTGCAGAGCCTGTTTGTTTCTGTGTGTTTTGGAATCATTCATGTTAGAGGCTTCTCTGGGTCCTGCGGGGGCAGACCTTGGCGCTGCGCTTGTGTCTGAGAGGGCTGCACTCAGCTGCCTGCAGCCCGTGTGTAGGGAGACTGTTAGCTTATCTTACAGGGTCTGGCTGGCTGGTGGTCGCTTAGTTGGGGGAAGCTCCAACTTTTGGAGAAAAGACACAGTGGAGAGGTTTTTCCTCTGGTGCACGGCTTCTCTTGGGAGTGTCCTGTGATATTTTGTGGCCAGTGCTCTGTGTGAGGGAACAGGGACTGGCATTTCCCCAGTGGAGATCTGCCTTTCTTCCCCACCTTGGCACAGAGGTCTGACCTTTGAACCAGCTGTTTTCAACCTCACTCCACCCCAGCCGAATCTGGCACTCCTCCTTCTGGGTTTGGGGACCAGGTTCCTTCTGTCTGCACTGAGGATGTGGCTGCTTCTTCCTGCTAAGAGTAACAGCGGTGCACGTGTGAGGGGTTACTCTGTGGCCTCATGGCTGCCCTGGGAGGTCATCAATGCCCTTATTCCCCCTCTGAGCGCCGTGAGTGAGTGGCCGGCCCAGGGCCGCCCGGCTGGTATGTGGGAGGGCTGGGATTTGAACCCAGGCTGTGAACAGTAGCCTGTGTCCCCTCACTGCTGCCCGGTCCCCTTTTGCTGTTGTCCTCTCTCGTCTTATTTATTTGGGGTCTTCTTCAGTGGCTCTTGGAAGGGAGGGGATGAGGAGTGAATCTGGTCAGCGTTCTTTCCCAGTCGGTCTTGAACCTCATCTAAGTCTCGTAAATGTGTCTCCCCTTTTGGGGTGGAGTGTGGTGGGGAGAAGAAGAGCAGGACTTATTTTGAGGTTAACGGATTCCAACAGCACCCAATAAAGCAACTTCAAAGCAGCTCCTAACTGTATATCAGTAATTATTAATAGATTTGCCTAATTTCATCCCAAATTCCAACTTTCAAGTTCTAACATTTTATTTTAAAAACTAGGTCAGAAAAAGAGTGCACGCCAGTATCACGTACAGTTCTTTGGTGATGCCCCAGAAAGAGCTTGGATATTTGAGAAGAGCCTTGTAGCTTTTGAAGGAGAAGGACAGTTTGCAAACTTATGCCAGGAAAGTGCCAAGCAGGCACCCACGAAAGCTGAGAAAATTAAGGTGATAGACGTTCCTTAAGTATAATTCTAGACCAAAACTTTTATTTCTATTCTTAATTATTTATCTTGTTTTGAACCTGTGGTTGGTTGAAATGTTGTAACGGCTTCTTATGTCTGTCACTGTTTACTTTTGCCAAGTGTGCTGTGTTATACAGTATGGCAGGTTTCTTTAGAGACACAGGTTGTCCTTTTTACTCCTTTGATGACTCCCAGAGATAATCGTTTTATAATTTTTGTTTTCCTTTATATATATCTGTATGTGAACATGTATATAATATTATATATGAGTGTTGGTTAAATGTAATTGGAATTGATTTCTAGTTTAAAGAAACAGTAGAGTTTTACTGGTCTGAACTCTGTCAAAAACCTTCGAGTTAATGGGTTTTTGTAGTTTTTGATTTCTATATTTATCTGAAATTCTAAAAGTATTCTTCTTTAAAGTGGGTTAACTTTTATGTTTATATAATGAAACTTACAATGTCTTATGTTCTCTTTTCAGCTGTTGAAACCTATTTCAGGGAAATTGAGGGCCCAGTGGGCAATGGGCATCGTTCAGGCAGAAGCAGCTGCAAGCATGTCCGTAGAGGAGAGGAAAGCCAAGTTCACCTTCCTTTACGTGGGGGACCAGCTCCATCTCAACCCCCACGTGGCCAAGGAGGCAGGCGTTGCTGTGGAGTCTCTGGGAGAAATGGTAGGGTCCTCAGGAGTCAGGGAAGAAGCTGCTGACAGCCCGAAGTCCACGAGGGAAGAGGGCGTTCCTGTCAAGAGGAGGCGGAGAGCCCAGCTGTCCTGCTCTGCTGAGAACCAAGACAGTGACCCGGGGACAGGAAAAAACACTCCTCAAAAGATGGCAGAGGCCGAGCCCAAGCGAGGAGTGGGGTCTCCTCCAGGGAGGAAGAAGGCCATGGCCTCCACTCCGAGAAGCAGGAAGGGCGATGCGGCGTCCCAGTTTCTGGTCTTCTGTCAAAAGCACAGGGACGAGGTCGGTGTTGTGATGGCTTCTGAGTTGTTGTGTTTTCATTCTGGGGAGTTTCTGCATTTGAGGGACATCCCTTGCAGTGCAGAGTCACCTGTTTCTCAGCCTTATCAGCACAGTCTGTAGCGAGCCTTCTGTCGATTTTAGATCTAATAAGCAAGTGTTGTTAGGGAACGGCCGTTTTAACTCTTGGGAGCAACGATATTTACCTTTGCACTCCGGGTTATGAAAATACTCCCACAGGGACAGCGGGAGGCAGGCTGCTCATTGCTGGAAGCTCGGCCTTATCCTGGACGTCTGGTCCTGGGCTAGCGTCTTCTCCAGGAGGCGGTTACAGAACCGCACGCAGCCACTGGCGCCATGGCGTTTGAAGGGCAGTACCGTGTCAGTGACGAAGACATTTGACTAGCGTTCTTAATCATTTTTATAGAATAAACCGTCTCTTTGGACATGGTCCAGGCTTGATTCCATTGTAAGGAACTAAAGGGATTAGGCCGCCATCTTTGGTTCTTCACTGTTACTTGAAGTGAGTGGGTTGGTGGGACTTTTCTCAGGAATGTAAGGCAGGTGTAATGTTAGAAAATCTGTTATTGTGATTTGCTGTCGCACATTAAATGATCATCTCAGTAGGTGGAGAAAAGGCATTTGAGAAAAGCCACGCAACTTGTGGGATCTTAGTTCCACAACCAGGGATTGAACCTGGGCCGTTGGCAGTGAGAGTGCAGAGTCCTAACCACTGGACCACCAGGGAATTCTCCAGAAGTCATTGTTTGTTTGTTTGTTTGAATTTATTTATTTTTGGCTGCATTGGGTCTTCGTTGCTGCACGTGGGCTTTCTCTAGTTGCAGCGAGCGGGGGCTACCCTTCGTTGCGGTGCACGTGCTTCTCATTGTGGTGGCTTCTCCTGTTGCGGAGCACAGGCTCTAGAGTGCGGGCTCAGTAGTTGTGGCGCACAGGCTTAGTTGCTCCGCGGCACGTGGGATCTTCCTGGACCAGGGCTCGAACCCCTGTCCCCTGCATTGGCAGGTGGATTCTTAACCAGTGCGCCACCAGGGAAGTCCCAAGTCATTGCTTTCTGATACACACACAGCAAGCCAGGATTAGAAGGGAGCTTCCTGTAATCTGCTGGAGGGTGAGTATCAGAAACTTTAAGCATCACACGTATTGAAGGAACTGTAGAGCATTCTCTCTCTAATCATGAACAAGGCAGGATACCCTTCTGTCACCACTGACATTAGATGTTGTAGTGAAAGTACTGGCAGTACAGTAAGAGGAGAAAAAAATAGAGAGGCCTGACTGTAAAGGAGGCGGTCCATGTGGAGACTCAAGGGAGTGTACAGGAGACCTTGAGACTCAGGAAGAGTTCCCGGCACCGGGAGAGATGAGAGCAACACACAGAGAGGAAGTGGAACGCCAAAAATGTGGTGTCTGTGATAGTAACAAAATAAGGTACCAAGGGATAAATATGACAGAATACGTCTAACTTTGGAGAAGAATGGCTGGTATTTTAGCAGACCTGAACAGAGATAAATAGGAGGCGCACGGTGTTCAGAGCGGTGTTCTGGGGTCGGCGTTGTCACCTCTCCTCTGCTAGACTGTAAATCCAGTATCATCCTGGGAGAACTCCCAAAAGGCACTTCTCTGCCTTTTTAAGTAGACGCTAGCATAGCCACGTTTGAAGAGAGCTCAGCCGGAGGACTTGCCCCACACAGAGGAAGTTCTGTTACCGAAAACTGCACAGAGCAGAACCCAGAAGCAGACTCGCAAGCGTGTGGAGGCAGATGGGAGAGGACTGCTGGCTAGCTGAGTGGGCCGCTGCTCAGGACAGGCACTGGGACCGCACCGGTGAGGTCAGAGCTTGGCCAACACGGGAGAAGAGCTTTGTCTCTTTGTGGGGGAGGGTTTCTTAAGGCAGACTGATCATAAAGGAGCTGCGTTAAAATGAGATGAAAGCTATATGTGCAGAGCTCAAGCGACCCTGAAGGGCAGAGTGGAAAGGCTTTGAGAAGGACAGTTTACAGAAGAACCTGGATGGCCAGTGAGTTCACAAAGAGAGGCTGCTGAGCCCGGGAACAGCAGGGAACCTCGTGTCGCGGTCATAGTGAGGCGAGTGGGCACAAGCCCAGCGCCTCTGTGGTCAAGGAGATGAAGCCACGGTGGGAGTCCCCATGCAGGGCTGGCAGAGGATCATTCCTTACACCTAGCTTCAAGAGAAATTTGGCAATAGCCAGTGAAATTGAAGATGCACATTCTCTTTGTCTTGTAACTTCACCGCAAGGTATTTACCCTTGAGGAGTTTTGCCCTCGCGCCCAAGGAGGCAGCACAGTGTTCAGAACTGTAAGACGCTGTGGAAGGAATGACAGATGGTGGCATGTCCTGCCACGTAACTCTAGACTTACTGCACGTCCAGGAGGAGAGTAAGTTGCTGAAGGATGTGCAGATCCCGTCACCGAAAGTGTGAAAAGTGCAACATACCCACTGTTTTGTTTGGCCTACCTGCCTACCTGCATCCACGCAGAGTCCGGGTGTAGCTCCAGGTCCGCGCCTCTGTGCAGGTGCTGACACCTGGCGGGGATCTGTGGGTGGGGACCAGCCGGAGCACGGAGCAGTGTGCACTTACCGCGCCGGGCCTGCTGTGAGTGAGGTGCGAGCTGTAAGGTCAGGCTGTGCGACACCCGTATTTGAAGCTGGACCCCCATCACGCCCGGGGAGCCGGGAGCAGGGCGTGGCCGTGACAGCTCAGCACCGCCAGCCGGCCGCACTCGGCCTCTTCCTGGTCCCTGCGTATCTCCGCGCAGTCTCCACTCGTTTGAAAGTGTGAAAGAGCATTCAGACCACTTTCCAAAGACCATCCCTTTTACTTCTGCGGAACCAGCTTGCTCTCCGTCAACCCTTCCAGCACTGCGAGACGCACCAAGAAGTTTATCACTGCGGAGATTGCTCACGAGCTGTACGCCAGAGGCGGCCGCGTGGGGCTGTGCTGTGCACCCAGACCCCCTGCAGCTCACAGCACAGCCTCTCTGCCTCTGAGCATCCCTCCAGAGCCCATTCTGCACAGCTTTGCCATGGGCATCACGCTCAGTGCAAACACCAAACTGAAGGTGCACAGTTACAGTTCAGTTCTGCTGCCTCTCCCTGGTCTTTGCGGGGGGTGAGCCCCATGAGCCCTTCCCCTCCTGTCTGGGTTTGGGTGCTGGTGGGCTTTGATAATTCCATGTTGTCAGAAAAGTGATGGCTACTAGGATATTCTTTACCTGTTATTAACAAGTGTGTTTGTGCTGGCCCTGTAATGAGTAATTCTAGACTTGAATTGAGGAAGCTGCGCCCTGATTCCATCCTGTAGAATAATCTGGGTCTTTCTAGGGGTTTCTTTTTGGAGAGTGGTGGTGCACCCAAGGATGGTTTCTGTTTGGTTGGTAATTGTTAATCAGTGGCCAGCCCTTGAGGGACAGAGCGGACGGAGCCTCCTTTTCTGGGGTCACTAGATAGAAGACTGTGACTGTCAAGGACATTTGGTTGCCACTTGCCTCCTTTTTTTTGCTGCACATTTCCAGCTTTCTTCTTGCAAATGAAGAGCTTCTTGAAACGGGTTGAGCTCTTTGTTAACACGTTTTGATGGTCCGTCTTCGTCCAGCAGGCTTAGCTTGGACGTGCAGCTCCCTCTGCTCCTGAATGCCGCTCCAGGGGCTGGAGGTGGGGGAGAGGCATGTGCTGGGAGACGGGTCCGTGGCCTGTGAGGAGCTGGCGAGGCTGGTGGACAGCTGCCAGCAGCCGTGCCGTGCCCGTGTGTGGTTTGCACACGAGGAGGTGAGAGTGGCTGGGTGAGGCCTCCCGCGAGGGGAGAGAGTTTACTAAGGCACCAGTGTTGGTAGCACTTTTATCAGCAGGTGTTTCTCGCCTCAGTTTCTGATTTCTGAAGCCTCTTCCCACTTTCTCTGTCCCTGATTTTTACAGCTTCATTGGAGTTGCACCACTGTTTTAGGTCTCAGCTCTGCATGAACATTTGTGTTAGGTGTCTGTTGCCGCGTAACAGGTCACCGCAAAGCTTAGTGCCTTAAGAGAGCAACACGCATTGCTTGTCTTGGTGTTTCTGGGTCGGGAGTTTGGGAGCAGCTCAGCTGGGTGGTGCTGCCTCAGGGTCTCTCATGAGGTCGCAGTTAGGGTGTCAGCTGGGGCTGCAGCCTCATCTGAAGGCCAGAGTGGGCCAGAGGACCTTCCTGCAAGGTGCTGCTCTCCACTCGGAGGCCAGTCGTGCCCCCAGCAGGTGGTCACAGGGGGCAGGTGGAGGCCTTCTACGCCCTAGACTTGGAAGTCCTGTGTGGCCGTGTCTGCACCGTCCAGTGGCTCTGCCGGATGGCAGGAGGGAGGCCCGGGGACAGAGGCGAGGCTCGCGGGAGGTTCTCAGAAGACGTGTGAGGAGGCCGGGGGAGGGGCGAGCAACCTCTGAGGAGCCCACGGCGTCCCGGGTCGTGCTGGTGACATTTTAGCTGTGTGGGTTTGTGGGTATTTGGTTTTCCATATATTTTTTTTCCCAAGGAGTGGAAAGGCTTTAATGAACATTACAAAGGGACTGGGTGAGGGGGACACAAACCCCCAATCCAGCCTTTGTTGCCCATTTCAGTGGCTGAGGAGGAGGGGAGGGGCTCCACCCTGCTTAGCTGTTCCCAGGCCCAGAGGCAGCTGGAGGGCGGTCCCTGCAAGTCTCCCCTCCCCGCGAGGGGCTGAGTGCTGCCAGAGCGGGGAGGCCTGAGGCAGCCAGCCGACCTCCAAGGTCAGGGGAGGCCCAGGACCAGGCAGGGGAGTCAGAGGTTGGAAGGGTAGATGGACTGAACAGGAGGGGGCAGCTCTTGGGTCCCCAGACAGCATTGTCACAGAGGGGCCAGGGCCTGCTGGCTCCAGGGACCGAGACCCTCACAAAGGAGCAGCCCCCCTCCCCCTGATCAGCAATGGTCAGGAGAAGGTCTGAGGGACAAGAGAGGACAGGGGCCTGGGTGAGCAGAGGAGGAAGAGCCGCGGGCACGGGCAGGGTGGGACCTGCGGCTCCTGCTGGCGATGAGGTTGGCGGTGGGGCGAGTGATGCTGCCTGTCGGGGTCCAGGACTCGTCGACACGGATGCGCCCGTCGCAGTTGGGCGTTCAGCTTCTGGGCGAGCTTGTGGGCAGCCTTGCGGCCCGCCGAGCCTGTCGGCGTGTGGTCGGGCTTTTTCTGAGGCATCTTCCGGGGGCTGCCCTTGCTCTTGGCCAGGCTGTGCTTGGACACCTACTGTGGAAGTGTCCACCAGGACAACCACCGCCTCCCCCAGCCGCGCGCAGGCATCTCACCACCTCGCTCCACGCGGGGCCTGCTTCCCCCGACCCCCTCCTCCCCTGCGGGCGCCGCGCCTGGGCTCGAGGCTGCCAGGCGGCTGTGCCCGCGCCAGCCGTGATGACTGCTGCTTGTCCGTACTGTTGTGTGTCTCAAACAGTTTATCAGAAACACAGTGGTGGCCGTGGTGGTGGAGCGCTCCGCGTGTTGGAGACCTTGCCAGTACACTGTCGTGAGGAACCGTTCGGCTCTCGTGACAGCACAGCGAGCCCTGTCTCCTGGCTGAGCGCGAGGAGGTGAAGCCACCCCTCCGCAGTGAAGTGACACAGGCGGGAGGCAGACCGGGACCCGGCCCCGACTGTGCCCGCGTGCAGAGCCTGTAGCGGTTGTGCTGTGTGGCGTCCTCATGAGACTGTGCGTTGGGGTGAGCGGTCGTGGCCCTCGTGGGCCCAGCAGAGGTGAGGGTGAAAACGCCTGGGCGCTCCCAGGAGGCGGGCACCGCGGGCCGGCGGCAGCTGTGGCCAGCGCATCTCCTGTCCTGGCGGAGCGCTGCTTGCATGGGTGCGAGCGGGCAGCGCCGGGCTGAGAGCTGAAAGGACGCCTGCAGCCGGCCTGCGGAGGGGGAGGTCTCCGGGCGCGTGGGCCCGTGCAGTCAGCGGGTCCAGCCTGCTGTGCGCCCAGCCTGTGGGGGGCCGTCCGGCGTGTGGCTCAGGCGCATGGGTGCGGGCTGACGGGAGTGGGTGCACCTCTGCCTGGCTGGCGCGCAGCGGCAGGAGTCCCACCCGCGGCGGCCTGGGCTGGGGGCCCTCTGGGATGGAGCGTCAGCGGTGAGCGGACAGGATGGAGAGCCAGGAAGGGTGGGCAGGCACAGGACGTGCAGGAGCGGAGCTGGCCAGCCTGGCACGGGCTTCAGGTGCGAGGGGCAGGGTGACCTCTGGGGCTTCGGAGTCCTGTTTGGGGAAGCAGCTGCGAGCACTTACATTACCCTTCATTCTGATCGGGGATGCTGTGGCCTGGGCTGGGCGACAGCCCCGCAGACGCATGTGCTGTGCTCCAGGAGTCTTGGATCTGCAGCTCTGCATGGAAGCCTTTGCCGCGAGGGTCTCAGATCTTTGATGCTGGAAGTGTTGGGGGCCGCGGGTGGGGTGGCAGGCAGGCTGGGCGGGAGGGGAGGGTGCCCCAAGTTGAGAGGAGAGAGCAGGCGTGTGTGGGGCTGGAGACACCCAGGCAGGCGCAGGATGGGAACAGGGATGCCCGGGGGAGCGTGGGAGCCGGAGCCGGGCTTTGACGTGCAGAGTTGCTGGGGTGCTGGTGTCTGGCAGGGCCAAGGTGGGCGTGTTGAGGCGCGGGGACCCTGGAGGCCGTAGGAAGCCATCTGTGGGGCGGAGTTGTGGATTGGGGCTTGCGTTTGGGGGCAGAGGCTGCCGTGTTGGCTGGGCAAGTAGTAGGTCCAGGTGGTGACAGGAACCAACCCACTGATGAAGTGTCACAGTAAGTCCGTCACAGAGGGCAGTGGAGACACACCTTCCCTTACCCAAGTTACTTCTCAGAGCTGTGGCGGACGAGCCACATTGAACCTGGGCTCTGGCTCCCAAGCCAGCAGCCAGTGCTCGGACGCAGTCGGCAAAGCTTTCTTGGAAGGGCCTGGGGCACAGAGGTCTCTGTTGCACTTCCTCCGCTCTGCTGTCGTAGCCTGCAAACAGCCGCGGAGGACTTGGGAGTTCATGCCTGCGGCCGAGTTCAGAGAAGACTTTACTGTGGGCATTGATGCTCGAATTTCCTCTAATTATCACGTGCTATGAAATATTTCTCCTCTGATTTTTTTTTTTTTTTTTTGCCATGCCGTGTGGCTTGCGGGATCTTAGTTCCCTGACCAGGGATTGAACCCGTGCCCTCAGCAGTGAAAGCCCTGAGTCCTAACCATTGGACCATCGGGGGTTCCCCGATTTTTTTCAACATTTAAAAATGTTAACTCAATTCTTAGTCTATAGGCCGTACGAAAACAGGAAGGTGGGTCAGATCTGCTCTGTGGCTGCGGTTTACGGACCTCGCACCCTGCTGTTGGTGGTCCTCAAAGTCGGGGCACATCAGAACCCATGGGAAACCTTTAAAATAGCAGAAGCAGGTCCGCTGGGTTGGAGCGGCCTTGGCAGGGACCTGAGCACCATAGTTTTACACCCTAACCCCCTCCCCCCGCCCCGCACCGATTATCACAGTGCACGGCCCGGACCCACTCCTCACAGCCCAGTGACGGGGCTCTTCTGGAGACCTTGTGAAGATGCGCGTCCCCGGAGCGGGGCCTGAGGATCTGCATCTCCTGTGTGCTGCAGGGCCTGGGAGCTCTGTGTCCCGGCTGTGAGGAGTGGCTGTCTCAGGGTGCAGCGGGGCGGGGCTCCTTGGCCACGTCTACGCCCTCCTGAGCGCGGACCTGAAAGGAGGAGGGTTGGTGCTACAGCCAGTGAGAAAACCAGCCAAGGGCTCGCCCCTGCACCCAGAGGTGGTGTTTCCTCCTGCTGGCTACTCAAGGCTGCCTAGGAAATTGCAAGTTACCGACAGTTTAGTGATTTTGGAAAAGTTTACTTTTTCTCTTATCACTTATCATTGCCTGCATTTACACAAATAAGCTGGAATTGTTTCCACCAGCGCTGTTTTCAATGAGTTACACATCAGTTAAACACTGTTTTTGTTTGAAGCCTTTATGGGACATAGTTCCATGACGTGGGAGTGAGAGCACCACGTGCTGAGTAGCCAGGGGCCGTGCCGCGCGCATTGTGTGAGTTCGGGCGTCCAGCCTTCCTATCGCACCTTTCCTGTGTCCGCAGGTTGTCGCTGAGCACCCGGACGCCTCTGCCGAGGAGATTGAAGAGCTGCTTGGATCCCAGTGGAATATGCTCAACGAGAAACAGAAAGCACGCTATCACACCAAGTTTGCCCTCGTGGCCCCGTCCCCGTCTGAAGAAGACTCTGGTAACCGTAGCTCTGTGCTCATGTCCTCTGCGTAGCCGTGGTGTGTGCCGTGTGGCGGCCTGCGCTCCGGCTCTGACCCGAGTGCAGCGGTCACAGTAAAGCAACCTCCGCTGCCTGGTCTCCTTGCTCGTTGTCGCCAGAGCTGTTCCATGGGATCCTCTGTGGCCCTGCGGGCCCCTCGTTCTCCTGCCCCTGCAGCCTGTGTGGGAGGTGTGGTGAGGGAGCAGAAGGGAGGCACGGAGTCCAGGCGGCCTCCAGGGCCGAGGCTCACGTGACGGGCCGGGGTCAGACCTCAGGCCTTTGTCCTGCAGCGAGGCTGCCGTCCCGGCTGGGGCTGCGCCTGCACCTTGTGGGGGGCTTCCCACTGTGGGCAGGCGCTCTGGCCCTGGGGCTGGCCGTTCATGGCCTGTTGGCCTGAGAGCTCACAGGGTGAGGAGGGTGACCGTGGACTGACGTTGAATGTGGGTAGCCTCTGGTTCTTTTCTTAGGCCTTCAGGGCGAAGAAACAAAAAGTGCCGCTCTGCCCTGGCCTATGGTAAGAGAAGGGAGGCTTAATGCTGTGAGCTCTGGGGAAGACAGGTCACCACGGTTGGGTGTGTCCTCCCTGCCTGTGGGAAACTGACACCTGTAATGGGAAGATAAGTGTGATGTGTTTGGGCATACGAAAGAATTCTGCATCTCTCAAGGCTCGTCATTGAAGAGTCGTGCAGAGGCCTCCAGACCCGCCTGACAGGGTGCTTCGTGGGCACGAGCTTCGTGGGCACGAGCTCGGTCAGCACCGAGGTGGCCTACATCCGTGTTGCCTTCCTGTTCTGTTCGCACGTGTTCCCATCTTGATTTTAGGGCTTTCTAGAACTCCACAGCAACCATCTAATGATATCAATAGTGAACTTCATTCAAGTTGTTCAGGGTTTGTTGCGAATACTACGATTTAGAATAGGGAGGATGTTTAGGATTTGTGTATTTTCTTTAAAAGGCAAGAAGTTTACCAGACTCTATCAGTACACTACATCTAGAAAAGTGTCCTTTTCAGTGACTGCCGATTTAAGAATAGTCAGGTTTTACTGAAGCCAGATTCACCTTATCCTTGAAGAGTGAGTGTGACTTGATTGTGTGTCCCACTTTGTCACCATCCCGAGTACTTGGCAGACAGGAGCATGGGTGGTCCCTGCCCCCAGTGTGTGTAAGGTGTGTGTTTGCCCTGCAGGCCTTGAGCCCTCCCTCTCAGGGACCCCAAGATGATGGGCCATGGTGTCAGCTGTCCCATCCTTTCAGTGTCAGGAATTCAGACAGATGCCCATCTTGCTCATCTCTGTAAGAAACGACCGCTGCCTCATCCCGACACAGGGGGAGGACCTTATGTAGAGGGCGAAGGACTACAACTTCACCTCCCCTGGGGGCTGTACCTAGTGCACACGTGCTGAGGAGGTGCTGGCAGGCCCGTGGATCCACAGCCACCGCTCCACAGGCCTCTCCTGGTGTTCCCCTGAGGCCAGCCCAGAGCTTAGTGAAGGCCACTCTCAGGCCGGCTTATGCCAGTCTGGTACTGGCAGCTGGTGAGGCCAGCGCTCCGGTTCTGCTCTTCTCTTGCAATGTTGGGCCTGGACCTGAGGCGGAGCCCCGGGCCCGTATCAGTCCAGGGCTGCTGGACGCAGGGACCTGAGCCTCCTGGCGGGTGTGCTCCGCCCCCCTCCGTAGGGTTTGAGGACAACACTGCCCTCCCAGGAGATGTTTGGTGAACAGTCCAGGAGCAAACCCTGAACCTCTGTAAAGCAGTCCTGCAAATGGAGACACTGGATTTGTGTTAAATAAACCTTGGCGTGTTCAAATTAGTCCTCTCTCTAGAATCTGCATTCTTACCTTACGTCTTGTTTTTCTGTCAGTACTGTTCGGACACCTTAAGTCTCAGATTAGGTGGTCTCCCTGAGGACACCTAACATGTGGCACAGTTAAGCAAACATGTAGAAGGCGCTTAGTCTGCAGATACACATGGATTGTTTCACTTAAGATGCTTCTTTAAGGAAATGTGTTAACGGATTTTGTAAAAATACTGGGTTATATTTAGATTTAATGCTATAGTACATTAAAGTGTAACAGATACCAATATAATAATCCCTAGATGAGATAAGGATTTTCTACTTGCCATTTGGAAAGTGCAGAGGTTTGACCTGTGGTACTTAGGCCCTGAGGAAATGAACAGGGTTTCAGGAGGCCCATCGCTGCTGGAGCTACACGCTGAAGGCGCTGGGCAGCTGCTCGGTGCTCTAGAGGACAGCTGTGGAGGGTTTTTCATGTAAGTTTCCCCCATCCCCATTCCAAGGTAACTTAAACGGGAAAAAAAGAAACCACACGAAGAGGACACAGGACCCTATAGAAGATGCTGAAGTTGAGGACGCTCCCAGGAAGAGACTCAGGACCGACAGGCACAGTCTTCGGAAGGTAATTACGTCCTGGGTGGGCCTGGCTGCGGGAACCAGTTCCCCCGGGCCACAGGCGGGATGCGGGGAGGCGTCCTCCGCAGGCGTCAGCTGGAGACTGGGGCTGGCCTTCCCCTTGGAGCTTCTTCAAGAAGGCCGCTGAGGAGAGCAAGCTTTTATCTGCCAGGGAATTTAACACATCCCAACACTGAATAATTCTTGATGTTCAGATTCAACAAAATTGTGTACTTAAAATGACTCTTGAATGTAGGGCATATTATTCAGTGTATAAATAATGAGTTGACAGGAGAACATCAAAATCCACTGTATGTTATGCTTCATAAGAAGTTTAAAAATCCATTAAAGGCATTGAAATAGGTTTTATGAACCTATTTCATGGACAGGAGAGCACTCTCCCGGGGCACCTGTCAGGTGTCCAGCAATGAGCTAGGTAATGAGCTAGGTAACACTGACGTGTGCAATTACCTGGGAGCACATATTCAGTTTCTCCTCTGGCCACCTGCCGTTGAAGTGGTCCTTTACTGGCAGTCATGCTGACACTGGTTGCTTTGAAATATTTGTATAAAGGATTTACCTAAAAAAAAAAAAAAAATGTGTGTGACCCTGGACATTTGAAATACCAAAATTCACATTAAGTAGCTAGACAGAAATTTTACTAACTAGTAGCTCAGGAAATAGCAGATGATTTTTCAAGAGAGTAGTGTTGAGTTTGATTTTTATAAACCCAAGCTGATAAGCCATGTCAGGTATAATTCCTAATATGCTTTGAGCACTTGGATGGGCCAGGTGGCATTCCCAGTGCTGGGCACCTGTTACCTTGTCCCCGGTCTTGTGGCCCATCCCTGCTGGAGTCCGGGGCAAACTCGGCCTCCTGGGCGGCAGGTGGCTGTGAGGCAGTGGTGCCCCAGTGCTGTCCAGACTGCATTGTTGGAACCCTGAGGGCTAGGCCGTCTTCGTGGCAGCTTCGTGTGTGCGCTGTTTCCTGTCGTGAAATGTGCTTCCGGATGGTCTCGGTTTGTGAGCTTTGTCTGGGGCTCATCTCAGGATTGGAAATGGTCCGCCTGGTGGGCTGGAGCGAACCGGGCGCACTCCTCATGGACTGGGCTCCCCTAGGGCAGAAGTGGCGCTCCCTCCGGTTCGCTGCACTCTGAACCCAGAGGACGGTTGGTAGCATGTCGAGGAGCCTCATTCCAGGTTCTCAGAGTGGCTGGTTAGGTCAGGGTTGGCCTGGCCCCTGCCCCTCCCTCCCAGCAGCTGTCAGAGTGGGGCGGGTGGGCAGGGGAGGATCGGCCCAGTGACGGAGAGGGTGTCAGCTGGGCGGCCACAGTCGCTGACTGTGCAGAGCACGCCTCCGCAGGAAGACGTTTCTGTCACACGGCTTTTCAGCAGCCTGTGTTCGTTCACATTGGAGACTTTTCCCCTTTCTTTCCTTTTTCTTTTTCTTTGTTCTCCCTTCCTTCTTTCCTCCCTTCGCCCCCCCCCCCCCAACCCCCCTTTTATAACAGAGAGAGACGTTCACAGACAAAACATCCCGCACAGGCTCTTGCAAGGCCATCGAGGCAGCCTCCTCGCTCAAGAGCCAGGCAGGTAATGTGGGCGGCGCTCCTTCCAGGTCCCCTGGGCTGGCGGTGGGCGGCCGGCCTGGTCCTGTCCTCGGGGAGCCCCCCTGGGGGGGGTGGTGGAGCCAGGGATGAGCGTGTGAGCAGGAAGCTGGGACCTAGAGGGGGCGGTGGGAGGAGGTTCTCATGCGGTTAAGGGTGAAGTGCTTTAGTGTGAAGTTGTTTTCATGGTCAGCAAGTGTCATTGAGGTCACTCTTCTGCTGACTTCTACTTGGCTGTATTGTTTTCAGTTTAAATTATATTAGAGAAGTGATTCGGATCAGAAATGTCCAGGTTTCTGACTTGATGGTACCAGTTGTTGCTGTAAATCCCACTGTTTTTAGTACCCACTTCTCCATGTATATTAGCTAAAAAGCAAAAGTAATGACTGGTTATTTCTGTTCTACATGTTGAAGAAACTAGCTTAAAATGTTTGTGAAAAATAACTGTCAAAACAATGAAGGGGGAATCAGGTCACTTTTTACCTTTTCATTAATTATCTTTTTGATGTATCTGTCTGGTAGTTCATTAAAGAAAGCTTACCATCTCCAAATCATAATAAGAAAGGAAAATAAAATTCAGAGTAAGTGAAGATTGGAAATGGCTCTGTTTCCCTTATTTTGCATAAAGAGCTGTACTGGTTTTTAAAAATTAATTGAACAGACTGTTTTAAAAAAACAGACGTTTGTGAACAATTTGAACACTGAGTGAACATTTGATGATAGAAAGGGTTGTTACTTTTAAGTGTGATAGTGCTGTTGTGGCCGCATTCAGACCTTACGTGCAGAGGCGCTCTAGCTTCCCATGGGTAAAACCACATGCCTGGGATCTGCTGCAGAAGAGCCGGCAGGGGGACGCGGCGCCAGGCGTGGGTGGACTGGTGTGGCCCAGGTGGTGGGTTGGGGGCCGGGCAGGGGGACCTGACATCAGGCTTGGGTGGACTGGTGTGGCCCAGGCGGGGCTTTGGGGGCGGGGTAGGGGACGTGGCACCAGGCGTGGGTAGACTGGTGTGGCCCAGGCGTGGGTTTGGGGACCGGGCAGGGGGACGTGGGAGTTCACTGTCCAGCTCATCAGCCCTGATTTTTCCACAACAAAAAGTTAAGCCCAGAAAATCCATCTTCAGAAACTTCATTTATTAGCGGGGTACTTTTAAAGCAGGAAAGAGATTGAGGGTTTAAGGTTTCAAACTTTACTTTATAAACCAAAATTATCTTACAGCCACAAAACATCTGTCTGACGCCTGCAAACCCCTGAAGAAGCGGCACCGGGCCCCCGCAGCGGCGTCTGCGTCGCTCGCCTTCAGCAAAAGCTCCTCTCCTTCCGCGTCCTTAACTGAGAACGAGGTAAACTCATAATAATAGTGACCACCACGCACGCACACAGAGGCCGCTTAGCTCCCCACACTGAAGTGTGATAAAGGGCAGGCTTAATCAGCGTGACACGGGTGTTCTCCACAGACGCAGGGAGGTTAGGTGCTCTGAGCCGTGTCTGTTTCAGAGAGAAATACACACACACACGGTGTATGCGTAAATGTACGTGGCTGTACTTCAGTATTGATGCTTTTAATTGTGCTTGAAATCTGTCTTCAAGATGTTGGTTCTGTGATTTTTCACCCGGTCCTAACCTGACAGCGTGAGCGGGGCTGCCCGCGGGGCTGGTGTGCTCACGCAGCGGGATGGCGGGGCCCACACGCTGTGCACGTGCCTTGTGCCTTCCGTGACTTTGGGTCCACAGCTTTGGTCCTTTAAATTCTGGCATGTTTTTAGGTCCCTGAGTGTCGAGGTGAGTCAGGACTGCCGTGGTAATGTGACTTCTCTTTTCTGGACTCGGAAAGTATCCGCTAGTGAAATTGTAGCTGTTTGAGTCTCTCACACTTCACTGTATCATGACATCTAGAGCATCATCAAATCTGAAGTCTTTGCCGTTAATAAAAACAAAATGAAAAGCAGCCTCAGAATGTAGGTATGGCCCTTTTTTGTCCAGAGGGAGTCTGGGATTCCCAGCTGTAGAGACTACCCAAGGAGCTTGTTGTCGAGTCTTAATTTCTTGTTATTTTGTTCCCTGTGATTCTTCTTCTCATTGTAGACGTGAGTCCTGTTTTTAGACTATCTGTGAAGAGATGCTCACCTTGGGCTTTTTCGGAACAGGGTAGTGAGGCAGGGAGTGGGTCAGAAGGCGGCACTTCTGATGTGGTCTCCACTGTGGTCCATGGTGGGGACGGGGTGTCCCCTGCTCTCTCAGCATCAGCTGCTTATGCCCATTAGAGGGGGCCGGGCCTTCGGGGGTGGGCTTCTGCTCTCGCAGGCGTGCAGGGGCCTCGGGGCGGTGTGGGGTGGTGCTCTCGGCCAGTCTTAGTGGGTGTAGGTAACTGAACATTTCTTACATTTGGGCACGGTCAAGACAACACAGGAAGAATTCGCTGAGCTCCTGGGAGCTTACTGAGACATGAAAAGGCAAATTCTATACAAAACGTTTTTCCTAGTTTTCTTGTCCAAGTTCAGATTAGTATCCTAAAAAGTTAAATAAAAGGTGGTCTGCAGTTCTAAAGAGGAATACTAAAAGTTTCAGTTCCACAGACCCTGTCACTTAAGGCAGTTTGTTTAAAACACTTTTTAATGAGTTTTTCTGGCATCATATTTTGGCCCACGTATTTGGTGGAGTTTTTACTTCCACTGCTGTCAGATACCATCAAAAGAAAAACACTGAGGCCGCTGGGATCTTGTCTGTTGTTCCTGGTCGTGAGTCGTGTGGGTTAGAGGCGTGGATCTAGAGCAGCTCACCGTGGGGCCAGGATGGCGGCTAGAGGGTGAAACATGTTTGTCAGACACACCTGACGGTCTGACATTGGTTTTGACCAGGATGAGTTTCATCTTCCTGGCTTAGACATTTGTTCTGAACTTGGGAAGACTTAGATGAAGCATTTTACAATCATTAGGCTTAATTGATTTTTAATTCTTTAGAACTTCAGAAGTAGATTATTAAATACATTTATATTAAATACATTAAAATCATACACCATTTTGCATCTTGAAGGTGGTACATAGATTCTATAGTGTGCATTCTGTTCCTTACATAAAAACATTTAAGTTACTAGGCTTTTTCTATCAGGCCACTTTTGTGCAGTTTATATAAATCTCACATTAGAGTTCATTTTTATTAAAACCGCTTTAGGTGAACAAGAAGGCTTGTCTGTTTCTGTGTTAACACTACTGAACTACAGTGCACATTTACGACGTCTGCCAGGCTAAGTGCCTTTTAGCACGAGAGACAAAGCGCAGTGTTGTAAAGAAACATTCTAGAAGCCGCTAGGTCCGGTTCTGGTGGGCACTGGGCGACCATGGGGCTGCTGTGTGCAGGGTTCAGACTGGCCCCTTATTCGGGGTGAGTCACATGCCCTTTGCATGTTTATATTCTCTCCTTTCAACACCATTGATTAAAATAAGGAATTTTCATAGGGTTGGTGTTTCAAGACATTTTAGGTCATGTTGTGGTCTAAATTCCTCTCACACAAGGTATATGTGATCAATAAAACCTTACATTAGAATAGTTATTCCATAGTAGTACTGCATCCCCTAATGAGGAGGACAGATTAAAATCACACACTTGCATGACAAAGGCCTGGGAAGTAATTAATGTGATTTAAGTGTTTTGTAATTTCATTTCTTATTCCCTTAGTAGAGCAAATTCTTATTTTTTTCGCCTTTACTGGTAACAGCTTTTATGGGAGCCCACACCAGCCAAGTTGGATTTGAACTCAGCTGCTCTGTACTGCACTTAAAATGATGTAATTTTCCAAGATGTCTGCTGCAGGCGGCGTGTCATCGTGCACACTCAGTGGCATTCCTTTCACAATCAGTTATGGAAGATGTGTGATAATCTGTTTTTACTGGTATTAATAACACATACAATGAAGAAAACAGATAACAAATTTTAAGACCAAGGTAAGATACCTAATCAAGGCCATTTAACCAATCACATTCATCTCATAACAGAAACACATTCATATTCCAGTGGTCAATGTAGATTTCAAGTTGAAAGGATGCCCTCGATCAGGGGCTGTCCTGGGCGTGTGACAAGGACAGCACACTGAAGAGGTTCATCCTGTTAGAGGTCGTTTTTCTCCTCTAGTTCATAACTTAACTGAATTTTTATTGAAAAAAATGTCAGCACCTGTACCTTCAAAAATGAACAAACAGCACACATTAAAAAGAGTCCTCGTTGACTGTTCTCATTGCTAATGGAATGTATTCAATCCTGTAGATAGTGAACTAATTTCCAACATAAAAGGCAGGAAGACTTTTGATTCTGTCTTTTTTTACTAAACAGTTTTACTATGACACTAGCTATAGTAAATTTGTAGGAAAAAAATGTCATTTACAGTATCATTGTGAACCATTTAACTCTTTTGATTCAATAACCCTTATCCGGGGGGGGGTCCTATAATCAGGTTATTTACACCAACCTCTTCATTGGTTGCTTTTGTAGAACATGAGCCATTATATTAAATGTCTCAATCTTGGGTGACCACCTGGTGTGCCCCAGGGTGTCCGCATGTTTGCATGGTGAGGAAAGGCCTCCGTGCCCTTCAGGTCATAGAGGCGGGAGGGCTCTTCACGTTACCAGGCCGGTAGCACTCGGTTCATTCCGAGTGGACTCTTCAGGTGTGTTTTTCCTTTAATGAGAGTTTCTCACTAATACTTGTGTTCTAAACCATTAAGTAGTGTAACGCATGTAAAACACTTGGGGTGCCTGGCGCCTTGCAAGGACTTAGTGGTTCGCTATTGTGACAATAATGGTTATAACAATAAAAATAATAAAATCACCATCATTCCATTTTTATCCAAAAGTATAAATTTTGCTTCGGCATGAAAAGCAATCCTCTTGCCTGCACTGTGCGCGTGGGGATAAAGTAACCCTAGAAGCGGCACACGCCGGGCTTGACTGATGCTTCCGGGTACAGGACGGTGGCTGGGGGCGCGACTCTGCTCAGACTCCGTGGACACGGGGCCTCCAGGACGGCCTCAGTCACGCTGTCCCTAAGGGACGTGGAGGAGCTCGGGACTGATGAGGGTTCTCAGAGAACCAGTCACTAAATTTTAAAATGTGGAAGAACGGTGGTGTAAAAATGACCCTAGTTCAAGAAGCCATTACCCAAAGTAAAGACTCGAGCCTGGAAGGCCTTTGACAGTCAGGATTAAGAGACTTGTTTGAAATTATGGCATGATGGATTTTGAGTTGGTAGCTAGCCAGCGACCGACACGTGATGGGTGGGTTAGGAGCCAGCAGAGAAAGGGGCGCCTTCCTTTTTGATGGGGATGACTCGATGCTGTGTCCACAGGAGCAGCGTAGACTTAGCCTCAGCTGAGTAAATAGGGGTGAGTGCAGGAGAGGGGGAGGGGGCGACGCAGTGTGTCTCAGCGCTGGTTGGGGGGGAGCTCATCCCAAGGCAGGCGGGAAGGTGCCCTGCAGGCAGAGGCAGATGTAGTCAGCATTGTTGTGGTCTCGCTGAGGAGTGCTGGTGGGGGGCAGAGTTCCCGAGAGGGCCTGCCCACAGCTTCCCGAAGGAGGGGAGTGGAAGGGGCTCCTGCTTTGAAAGAGCTTAGGGTCAGGCAGTAGTTTGTCTGCAGGAGTACAGATTCATTACGCTGCTGTTTAGCGTGGAACGTCTTCATTTCCTAAGGTCAAAGTAACGCTGATTCACCCTGGTCTTTGGTCATTTGAGCTGACAGTTGTTGAGGTGACTGGCTATATCATGCACAGAGTCACTGCCGTGACCGCTCCTTCCACGTGCCACGCTTGGGCCTGGTGGGGAGGTGGCTGCGAGGAGGGCCTCTGGAACAAAACGGGAGGCCACAGGCGGACACTAGTCTGAGTGTACAGAAGCTGAGATGGTAGCTGTTCCAGAGATGAAGGTAGCCCGCGGTACCGGAGCGGCCCCCCTGGGCCCGTGCCGTGTTGGGTAGAGCTGCTCCCACTGCCGCCCCGGACTCCTGTCTCCTTGTACACCTTTCCCAGAGTCTTCAGCTGTGGGGGACTCAGGTGGCTGCCTCTCAGCCCTCTCTTCAGCATCTCGCGCATTTATACCTCCCAACTGAAAGTAGCCTCACTGTTTTAAAGAGGATATTCCTAAAAACCGACAAGAAACCTAAGTGAAGTTTCACAAGGAAGCAGAGTTTCAGAAACGTAAGGCAAAAGGGTGGCTTTTTGCCGTGTGTGAGTGTGGGAGGGTTAGCCTGCTCCCGGGTGGTCTCTGTGAGGTCCCCGTCCCAGCGTTAGCTGTGCTTGATGCCGTGGTTTTCATGGGAAGTCCACGCAGAACCACAGGAACGTTTCAAGTGGAGTGCTCAGGGCCGGGGAGTGGGACGGCGGGGGCGGGGGGGGGGGGGGTTGGCCATTTCAAGAGGTTGCCGTGGTAGGGGACGGGAGCAGCTGAATACACCGGAGGAGAGGACAGCAGAAAGGCGAGGTTTGCCGCCCCTCTCGGTCTCCTGGGCCCTGGTCTGCTCCCCCAGGGTTAGGTCTGGGTTGTGTGAGCGTGGCCAGACTGGGGGTGACTCTCATACCTATCGAGTCTGTCTTAGAAATGTTCTAACGAAAAGCCAGACTGTAAATTAGCATCCACTTCCGAAAACATAAAAGGTGCCCAGGTGTGGGCTTAAAATTAGGGTTCTCCACCAAAAGCCTGGACGTTGGGCCCACTGTGGCAGATGAAGAGCTGAGATTTTGTTCATCATTTCAGTGTTTTATATAAAGGAGCGTCCTCTGTCCATTTGATGAGTCCAGTAGAAGGAGCAGTGCTTGCCTGGAGGGTGACTCTTGGCTGGCTTGGGCGAGGCCTCGTGCGGCCCAAGGTGGGCAAGAAGGCACCCCCCCAGCCCCGGCCCAGGAGGGACTCCTGTCTGAAAGGGGAGCTGGGGAGGACAGTCACTGTGACTTCGGCAAGTGTGCCCGATCCCTTTTCCATTTGGTTGTTTCTGACTCAGCTCCTTTCTGAAGCTCCTCTGCTCCTTTCAGGTGTTAGTTCACGTTGAAGGTTGTTCTGGTCACAGCTGGTCGTTTGTTTGTGGACGTGTGAGAGCGGCCTTGACTTAGTGTGGAACTAGCATTTCTGCTTTAAAATCAATAGCTTCACCACCTCGGCTTTTAGAAACCTGTGAACAGAAGTAGTAGTTGTTGAGGACTCAGTTTTATCTTTTAGATTATGAATCTAAATTACAGTCTTCTGCTGAAAGAACCGAAATATCACTATCTTATTAGAAAAGGTTTCTCAAAATGCTCTCAAATCTATGATTGGCTTTCCTTTTTTTTTTTTTTTAAGAAATATGCTGACTCTTGTATATTTTAGGATTTTTGGTCAGTGAAATTGATTTTCATCCTTTTAAGTACTGTTTTTGCTGTTTTACCTAGAATATTAGAAATTAGTGCTGATTTGCTTGCCAGTGATGGGAAGTTGGGTGTCCTTTGCAGGTAACAAACACATGCCTTGCATCCCTCCATCTTGTTGCTTGTACTGCCAGGGTCAGGGGCCACTCACTTTGGGCATTTCCACCAGCGAGGACACCCTGGGGGGCCCTCCCGCCTGCTCAGTGTCTGTTCAGGAACCAGACAGGCCTCATCTTGTGAGATGCCTTTGTAGCTACCTGGTTACCTGGTAGATCCATGGCTACAGTGTTTTCTGGCCTGAATGTAGGTGTTGGGGTTTTGCATATAATTCTTTGGCATGTGTTTCGAAGCATGTGCTAACCGTCTGGGGCATATTGCACCTTCCAGAAACGGCTGAGGCTGGGGAGGGCAGCCCGGCCCATCAGTGGGGGTGGGGTGGGTCGCTCAGCGCTGGCCCCTCCCCAGCTCCCCTCTCTAGCCCACTCTCTGTGGGACAGCCCCCGCTGGGGACACAGTTGGGACAATGTTGGGTTGATAGGACATTTTAGAGACTCATTTTATCTGTGACGAGGGCTGGCCTTGCGTCTGGAACAGCAGCCCCACGGCCTGCCTGGTCACCACGTGGTTCTCACTGTCACCTCCTGGGGCTGTCGGCTCTCACAGGAGCTGCCTGGTTAGAAGGTGGGTGTGAGGATAGTGCCAGGGTGTGTTCCCATGACTCAGACCTGGACTTTAGGGGCAGCTAGGAAGGGTCGAGCTGTGTCATCTAGAGGGGTTGCTTTAATACAGTTCAATAACTTTTGTTTGAATTGTAGTATTTCAGGTGATGAATGACTAATTTACAAATTACTTTAATCCCACCCTAATATTTCACTGTGATATTAACTTGGAAGACCTGTTTGAGATTAGTCTTTTGACTTTAAGCTCATTAAATCTCCTGGGCACAGGATTCGTATCATTTGTCAATCCAAAATCCTATGTGAACACACTTCTAGTTATCTGTTTCTTCCTTTACAAAAGCGTAACTTAAACATAAAAGTAATGTTGGTTTATAGAAATATCTGTTGTTCAAGGTCTGTAATTGTATTTTAAAAATGATGTAGTGTTCAACTTGTGAAGGGATGTGTTTTGTTAAAAGATTTGAACCTCACTGTAACTCTGTCCGAGGCGTAGGGGACTGCTCTCCAGCCCCGGCAGGGAGGGACCTGCCTGGGATGCGCACGAGTCGCTTCTCGAAGTCGGTTTAAATGTGTTCACTAGGTTACATTATGTTCGTTAATAATCATCCTGAAAAATCCCTGTAATGATCACGGAGACCACATTCTCTGCCCGTAGAGGAATGTATTTCTGAGGCAAACGGGCAGTTCCGTGCTGTCACATACTGAGTAGAGTAGAGTATTTTCAGACTGGAGGAAACTGGAAAGTCAGGAGCTAAGCTGCTGGTCGCGCAGCCGCAGGCATGGCTCTGGCGGATTCGGGCGCGGCGGGAAGTGCCCGGCAGTCCGCGTCCGTCCACTCAGTCACTGCGTTTTTCTCTTTCCGAATGCATCCTATTGGATATGGAATAGACCGTAGAGGTCGTAGCCTGAGATTTGGGACTGTGTTGGGACCGTGCAGGTGAATGTGTCGCTTTCACAAACGCATCTCCGAGTAAGTACCGGCCCCTGGTGCACGTGGAGGTGGAGCCTGCAGCCGGAGCCAGGTGCCCGCCCGCTCTGCCCTCAGACCCCCGGCCGGCCGCGTGCTAGGGGTCCGCTGAGTCGCGGGGAAGGGGTGCGGTGGGATGGAAGCTGGACCCTCCCGCGCCCGTCACGGACTGTGCTGTTGTAAGGTCTGATGCTGTGTGTGTATCTTAGACCCATCAGGACATGCGCCTTGTGTGTGTCGTGAACATTTATACTTCCATTCAAAATATGTATTCAGTGTTTATTTCCTCAAACCAGACTTTGTTAATTTAGGAAATATCTCCAAGTGGAAACGTGCTCACTTTTTCTGTAAATCTTAAATAAAAGGTGCTGTTCCTTCCTTTGACCCAGGACTGGTCTGTGTTTTCTGTCTTTCTCTCCGTGCATTTTTTCTTTCTCTTTTTTCCTTTTTTTTTTTCTTTTTTCTTTTTCTTTTTTTTTCTTTTTTTTTTTTTAGCTTTTAAATTTGTTGCAGCCACGTTGAGGGAAGAACCTGGGTTGGTGGGTCGGGCACCGGGCTCTTCCCTGGAGCCCACGTGAAGGCCCTTTCTTTGGGCCTCGGTTCTCAGGCGGCCTAGTGGGACCAGGGCCAGCGGGGCTGCTGCCCTTCCCAGTGCCCGGCTGCCCCAGCACCTGCTACAGACTCGCCTCAGGTGCTCGCCCCCATCTGTGACCCTGCATCTGACAGACACGTTGAATTGGGGTTTGAACTCAGAGCATTCTTCCAGTTTACTGCCTTCTTTCGGGTGTCAGTGTGGAGGGTTAGGAGGTGAGCCGTAGGGGAGGGCTCCACTGGGCAGCCTCGCGGCAGCGGGCTGAGACCTGTGCTGTAGTGCTGTTCACGCTGTCAAGCCTAGGAGAGCATCCAGGCTGGCATGGTGGCCCACACACCCGTCACCCTGCCACCGGTGCCAAGTCAGCCAACACATCCCTCGAAAAAGTCAGCCCACTTTAACACCAGGTTCTGAGTCAGCAAAAACCCCTTTGTTTTATCAGGGCTTTTCCTTCTGCTGCTCCCCGTAATTTCAGGGAGGTAAATCTGGGAACATTTCACTGCTGAGGCTACGGAATTGGGTCAATGGCCTGCTGGGGTTCCTTTTGTTTTTGGTGTTTTTTTTTTTTTAAAAAAAACAGTGTGGCCCGATTCCATTTCTAGCTTTGTGTTCACCGGCAACCAGCAAGCCTAGATCATACTTACTGGTTGCTGTGATTACTGAGGTGTGCAGGAAATGCAGCTTATACGTTTGCTCTGTTGAAAAATTCAGTTTTCAACATTTATTTGATAAACATCAGATAAATACCAAATGTGTTTTTAGGCTTTAAACAAACCTGAATTTTATATATGAGAAAGTTTTCTGACTAAAGATTTATTGATTTCTATTTAAAGATTTGCTATTGCTGGTCAAGTGAGGGAAAAAGCCGTGTACAGTGATGAGGGGAGGCTGTAGCCCGGCCTCACTCATCGCTGGTAAATGAAGGCGAGACGGACGGAACACGGCCCGTGAGTCACCGCATTTGCTCCGAGTCCCCGTCTCTCCGCCTGTCGCGCGGACTGCCGTGGGCACAGGCGGCAGCGTGTGCCCCCTCCCCACCTGTCCCCGTGGGGGGAGGCGAACGGGCGGGCGGTCAGTTACGGGTGCGATGAGTCTGGAAGACCGGCTCCTGACCTCGGTGAGCACGCGCGTCCCGGGTCGCCGACCGTCTGACCACGGTCGGAGTGACACGATCGCGCCACCAAGGCCTGCACTTGACACAAAAGCATGTTGGAGGTTAACTTGTTTCCCTTCCCTTAAGGTAGTTGAACCTTTAGCAGATCGGGTAAGAAAAGCCAAGATTCTGGGTCCCCAAGCCCGTCTTAGGTCACCTACTAGACCAAATTGGGTTTTCATAAAAGTTACTTCACTTTTAAGGAATGGGGAGAGGCTGTTGAGCCTTGTGCCCCTTGCGCACATTGTGTACCAAAAGTCAAGCGGGTTGGAGCCCGTTTCCGAATTTGTACACAGCTTATCGGCAAGTGTGTTGTCACGGACACCAGTGGTGGCCGCGTGTGAGGGGAGCTGGCGGGGCTGCTGGCGGCCACTGTGAACTGTCGTCCGCCTCTTTCCTCCCAGGTCTCGGATGGCCCCGGAGACGAGCCCCCGGAGTCCCCAGACGAGAGTGCGGACGAAACCCAGACCGAAGTGTCCGTCTCGTCTAAAAGGTCTGAACGAGGAGTGACCGCCAAGAAGGAGCACGTGTGTCAGGTGAGGGGCGGGCGGCCTCTGAGCAGCCGGTCGGGGAGCCCGGCCTCGTCGGCCCTCCTCCCACCCCTCAGCCGGGGCCCCAGAGCCCTGGGGGTCGGGGGATCGTGTGGAGTTTTGTTTCTCACACCTGGTCTCGCGCCCCTGTCGCCTGCAGCTGTGCGAGAAGCCAGGCAGCCTGGTGCTGTGCGAGGGCCCCTGCTGCGGCGCCTTCCACCTGGCCTGCCTGGGCCTCTCCCGGAGGCCGGAGGGGAGGTTCACGTGCAGCGAGTGCACCTCAGGTACGTCCCGCCCCGCCCCGCCCCGTCCCGCCCCGCCCCTCCGCGCCCCGCCCCGCCCCGCCGTGTGCTCCGGCTCTCGGCTGAGGTCACTGCCCACCTCCCGTCCCCTGGCCAGACTCTTCACAACTGGTGCCGTGTCGGGAGGACACCCGGAGCCTTCCCGGGAGCCCCCGGGGCCGGCCGTGGGGCACCTCTGCAGTTGGTCTGCTGCCCTCGGAGGGAGGGTGGGAGCCTTTCTTGGGAGGAGCCCCTTCCCCAGAGCTCCTCGCTCGTTTGAGAATGCGCCCTGCCTGGGCCGCCTGGTCAGACGAGCCTGTCCCTGCGGCAGAGCCGGGGCTCAGATCCCGGCGGGGTTGAAGGAGGAGCCGGTGCTCCAGCCACGAGGAGCTGCAGCTCAGGTCCTGTTCTGTGCCCCTCTCTCCGCCCCTCCGACCCCGTCAGGGATTCACTCGTGTTTCGTGTGTAAGGAGAGCAAGACCGACGTCAAGCGCTGCGTCGTGTCACAGTGTGGGAAGTTCTACCACGAGGCCTGCGTGCGCAAGTTCCCGCTGACGGTGTTCGAGAGCCGGGGCTTCCGCTGCCCTCTGCACAGCTGCCTGAGCTGCCATGCTTCCAACCCCTCGAACCCAAGGCCGTCGAAAGGTACAGACACGAGCGAGAGCCTCCGTGCCGGTTTGACACGGTCCTAGGCGCGTAGAGGGCAGGCAGGGGCTGTCAGGCTTGTCCCCCCGGATGTGGATTTGGAGGAACGGTTGGTGGTTCTCCTGTCACTGACTCCGCACGGGGTGGGGTTAGGGTCTTTCTTGATAGTCTCCTTCCTTCCTGCCCTAAGTGTCGTCTTAAAGATCCCTGGCTTTAGGAGCGGGAGGCCTTTGAGCCATTTTGATGGATTCTGTTTGTTCTGGCTTTAATGGTCCTTCACGTGTGAGAAAAATATTTTAAAATCCAGTCACATCGACGTTATGTCACGTTAGGTCTGTGGGATTGGGGGTGGCGGGTTACCGCTGCTTCCTGACGCCAGCGGTTCTCAGCCAGCCCTCCAGGGGACACACGGCCGTGTCTGGAGATGCTGCGGGGTATCTGCTGGCGCCCAGCGGGTAGAGGCCGGGGTGCTGCTAAACACCGTCCCATGCACAGGACGGCCCCGCGGGCCCCCGAGAAACCCTGGTTGACCTCATTTTAGAAAACAGCGTTTTAAATGCCTAACGGTTTTCTGACATCGTTTAGAAGCACCGTCGCCTTAAGGAAATGTGTTTTCATGACGTCTAATAAATATCCTTACCCTCCCACTCTAGTTATTTTGTTCATCAACTGCTTCCAGTGTATTTCCGCAGCAGCCCTGCACACCTGTGGAGGCTTGGTTCCTTGGGGTGCTCTGCTCAGTGCCTTGGGCTCTGGGGTGTCTCCCCTTCTCCAGGTAAAATGATGCGGTGTGTCCGATGCCCGGTCGCCTACCATGGTGGGGACGCGTGTCTGGCGGCGGGATGCTCGGTGATCGCGTCCAACAGCGTCATCTGCACGAACCACTTCACTGCCCGGAAGGGCAAGAGGCATCACGCCCATGTCAACGTGAGCTGGTGCTTCGTGTGCTCCAAAGGTGAGGAGCCCCCTGCGGCCAGCCCTGCGCTCCCATCGGGTCCATCTGGACGGTCAGGGCGCTGCTCCTCCTGGCTCCCAGGGCCGAGGGTGGGCCCGGCTGCAGCGCCTTTCGGGCCTTGGCTCTCCACCCTCCTGCCGCCGCCCCGTGCTTGCACATGTAGAGTCGCATACGTGGGAGCTCTGAGTTAACTGTGACCGTTTCACAGGCTTGTGGGACATCGTTAGTGGTGAAAACAAAACGTGCTTTGTGTTAACGTGCAGGTGACTCTTTAAGCTACTGTCTGAGGGTCAGAGGGTAAGAGCTGTAGACTGGGAAGGCCGCGGGGCTGAGCCGGGCGGGGGGGGGCGGGCTAAACGGCGCCCTCTGTGCAGGGGGAAGCCTGCTGTGCTGCGAGTCCTGCCCGGCGGCCTTCCACCCCGACTGCCTGAACATCGAGATGCCCGACGGCAGCTGGTTCTGCAACGACTGCAGGGCCGGGAAGAAGCTGCACTTCCAGGACATCATCTGGGTGAAGCTGGGGAACTACAGGTGTGGGAGGAGGCGCCTGCCCCTCTTTCCTTGTTCAAATGTCTTCTTTTACTTTACAGAACTTAACGCATTGAAATTACTGTCACTCTCTCTGAAGAGTCTGTGAATCCTGTTTTTAATATTTATAATAGATGGTGGCCGGCAGAAGTTTGCCATCCCAAAAATGTTCCCCCAAATATTCAGAAAATGAAGCACGAGATTGGAGAATTCCCTGTGTTTTTCTTTGGGTCTAAAGATTATTACTGGACGCATCAGGCGCGAGTGTTCCCGTACATGGAGGGGGACCGGGGCAGCCGCTACCAGGGGGTCAGCGGGATCGGAAGAGTCTTCAAAAACGGTACGGAGGCTGGTTCCCAGGTGGTCGGAGACAGCGCGCTCGGGTGCCCTTGCCAGTCCTCATTTCTGCTTCCAAATGTTTGACTTCTGTAGAAAACGCTGGACTCAGCATTCCGGCTGTACTTTACGTTAGAAAAAAGTAGGTCTGTAGACTGGTTTGTTGAAGCAGAGGGTAAGAGGTACTGTTTAATGACTTTTCTAACATTGGTCTGTGGTGACTTTCACTAACACGCATTAAAGCTATTTTTAAGAAATTATCTGCGTACTAATTTCCAGGAATCCCTTACCGCTTGCCTTTACGTGAGATGGCGGCGTGCAGGAAACTGGCCTGCGGTCCGGGCCTTGTGCACCGGCTTGCGGG